GTGAGGCGTCGAGGCTGTAAAAAGGTGGTGCATCTGCTGTAACAGCTGGCAAAAGTTGCGCCGTCGGGGAATCGAACCCCGACCTCATCATGAATCCTAACCATTAGACCAACGGTGCACGTAACGTCTCGCTAAACAGCCCCAAACACTTACAGCCAAACCCACATAAAAACAACAAGCTCACACATGCCTTTCACACCTTCAAACACTACACCACCGCCGTGCTCTACTACCGCATACCCAGGCATGCAGCACAACAGCGCCAAACAAACACAGTTGTAGCTATATTTTTATATCGGTCGATGGGCAGCTGGAATCACACGACAACTCGCAACCTATCAACGCTCGGACGAATCGATCACCATTGGGCGCTAAAGCGCGAAAAGTCCCTCTACTCACTCGGACCCGGCTCGTATATTGGGTCTGCAACTTCGGCAAGAGATTGTTCGAGCAGCGGGACCGATGAGCGACATTCTTTTATTAAATGCGGCGCTCACAGAACCACCACTAGACCATCGAATGCAGCTATCAATTCACACAGTTCGGCAAAGGAGTGCAATAGATATCAGCAAAGAGTGACAAAAGGTGCTCCGAGCAACAGGCCACCAGGTGACTGAACGAGCAACCGGAGGTGGAGACTACCCCAAACAGGTTGCGCAACACAGAAAGAAGCAAGGTGTGCGCCGCCGAAGAATCGAACCCCGACCTCATCCGTGGGAGGGATGAATCCTAACCATTAGACCAACGGCGCAGCAGACAAACTAGATGTTACCTCAATACAAACACCAACTAAACCACAACCCTAGTCATACAACAAACGCCACAAACGCCAACAACAATGTGCCAGCTGCAACGACCCACATCCCACACACCCGTCGCCACCCTCACGCTGCCTCCGACACACGAGCTGCATACACAAGCAAGTACTAGTATGCACAACTGCCGTTTCTGCTTTCTTACGCCGAAAATCCGGTCTAAGCAATGGCTAGGTGGTCAGCAGGTCAAGGAGGCGTTGCCCTCATGCAGTAGGACGTGCGTGAAGGCGTCGAGGCTGTAAAAAGGTGGTGCAATCTGCCGTAACAGCTGGCAAAAGTTGCGCCGTCGGGGATTCGAAACCCGGACCTCATCCTTGGAAGGGATGAATTCTAGCCATTAGACCAACCGTGCACGTAAAGTCTCGCCTATAAAACCCCCGCGAAAATTCAGTTCTCCTTAAAAAGGCCCCCAAACTTCCACACACAACTCACATAAAAAAGAAACTCACACAGCCTTTCACACCTCAAACATACACCACGCGTGCTCTACTATCCGCATACCCAGGCACGCGGCACAACGGCGCCAAATGAACACAGTTGTAGCTATATTTTTGTATCGGTCGATGGGCGGCTGGAATCACACGACAACTCGCAACGTAGTAGCACTCGGACGAATTGATCACCATTGGGCGCTAAAGCGCGAGAAGTCCCTCTACCCACTCGGACCCGGCTCGTATATTGTGTCTGCAACTTCGGCAAGAGATTGTTCGAGCAGCGGGACCGATGAGCGACATTCTTTTATTAAATGCGGCGCTCACAGAACCACCACTAGACCATCGAATGCAGCTATCAATTCACACAGTTTTGCAAAGGAGTGCAATGGAGATTAGCAAAGAGTGACAAAAGGTGCTCCGAGCAACACGCCGCCAAGCGACTGAACGAGCAACCGGAGGTGAAGACTATCCCAAACAGGTTGCGCAACACAGAAAGAAGCAAGATGTGCGCCGCCGGGGAATCGAACCCCGACCTCATCCGTGGGGACTAGACCATCGAATGCAGCTATAAATTCACACAGTTCGGCAAAGGAGTGCAATAGATATCAGCAAAGAGTGACAAAAGGTGCTCCGAGCATCAGGCCACCAGGTGACTGAACGAGCAACCGGAGGTGGAGACTACCCCAAACAGGTTGCGCAACACAGAAAGAAGCAAGGTGTGCGCCGCCGGGGAATCGAACCCCGACCTCATCCGTGGGAGGGATGAATCCTAACCATTAGACCAACGGCGCAGCAGACAAACTAGATGCTACCTCAATACAAACACCAGCTAAACCACAACCCTAGCCATACAGCAAACGCCACAAACGCCAACAAAAATGTGCCAGCTGCAACGACCCACATCCCACACACCCGTCGCCACCCTCACGCTGCCTCCGACGCATGAGCTGCATACACAAGCAAGTACTAGTATGCACAACTGCCGTTTCTGCTTTCTTACGCCGAAAAGCCGGTCTAAGCAATGGCTAGGTGGTCAGCAGGTCAAGGAGGCGTTGCCCTCATGCAGTAGGACGTGCGTGGAGGCGTCGAGGCTGTAAAAAGGGGGTGCAATCTGCCGTAACAGCTGGCAAAAGTTGCGCCGTCGGGGAATTGAACCCCGACCTCATCCTTGGAAGGGATGAATCCTAACCATTAGACCAACGGTGCACGTAACGTCTCGCTGAAAAGCCCCAAACACTTACAGCCAAACCCACATAAAAACAACAAGCTCACACATGCCTTTCACACCTTCAAACACTACACCACCGCCGTGCTCTACTACCGCATACCCAGGCACGCAGCACAACAGCGCCAAACAAACACAGTTGTAGCTATATTTTTATATCGGTCGATGGGCAGCTGGAATCACACGACAGCTCGCAGCCACAACGCTCGGACGAATCGATCACCATTGGGCGCTAAAGCGCGAGAAGTCCCTCTACTCACTCGGACCCGGCTCGTATATTGGGTCTGCAACTTCGGCAAGAGATTGTTCGAGCAGCGGGACCGATGAGCGACATTCTTTTATTAAAAGCGGCGCTCACAGAACCACCACTAGACCATCGAATGCAGCTATCAATTTACACAGTTTTGCAAAGGAGTGCAATGGAGATTAGCAAAGAGTGACAAAAGGTGCTCCGAGCAACACGCCGCCAAGCGACTGAACGAGCAACCGGAGGTGGAGACTACCCCAAACAGGTTGCGCAACACAGAAAGAAGCAAGGTGTGCGCCGCCGGGGAATCGAACCCCGACCTCATCCGTGGGAGGGATGAATCCTAACCATTAGACCAACGGCGCAGCAGACAAACTAGATGTTACCTCAATACAAACACCAGCTAAACCACAACCCTAGCCATACAGCAAACGCCACAAACGCCAACAACAATGTGCCAGCTGCAACGACCCACATCCCACACACCCGTCGCCACCCTCACGCTGCCTCCGACACACGAGCTGCATACACAAGCAAGTACTAGTATGCACAACTGCCGTTTCTGCTTTCTTACGCCGAAAATCCGGTCTAAGCAATGGCTAGGTGGTCAGCAGGTCAAGGAGGCGTTGCCCACATGCAGTAGGACGTGCGTGGAGGCGTCGAGGCTGTAAAAGGTGGTGCAATCTGCCGTAACAGCTGGCAAAAGTTGCGCCGTCGGGGAATCGAACCCCGACCTCATCCTTGGAAGGGATGAATTCTAGCCATTAGACCAACGGTGCACGTAACGTCTCGCTAAACAGCCCCAAACACTCACAGCCAAACCCACATAAAAACAACAAGCTCACACATGCCTTTCACACCTTCAAACACTACACCACCGCCGTGCTCTACTACCGCATACCCAGGCACGCAGCACAACAGCGCCAAATGAACACAGTTGTAGCTATATTTTTGTATCGGTCGATGGGCGGCTGGAATCACACGACAACTCGCAACGTAGTAGCACTCGGACGAATTGATCACCATTGGGCGCTAAAGCGCGAGAAGTCCCTCTACCCACTCGGACCCGGCTCGTATATTGTGTCTGCAACTTCGGCAAGAGATTGTTCGAGCAGCGGGACCGATGAGCGACATTCTTTTATTAAATGCGGCGCTCACAGAACCACCACTAGACCATCGAATGCAGCTATAAATTCACACAGTTCGGCAAAGGAGTGCAATGGATATCAGCAAAACTTGACAAAAGGTCCTCCGAGCAACACGCCGCCAAGCGACTGAACGAGCAACCGGAGGTGGAGACTACCCCAAGCAGGTTGCGCAACACAGAAGGAAGCAAGATGTGCGCCGCCGGGGAAATGAACCCCGACCTCATCCGTGGGAGGGATGAATCCTAGCCATTAGACCAACGGCGCAGCAGACAAACTAGATGTTACCTCAATACAAACACCAACTAAACCACAACCCTAGCCATACAGCAAACGCCACAAACGCCAACAACAATGTGCCAGCTGCAACGACCCACATCTCACACACCCGTCGCAACCCTCACGCTGCCTCCGACACACGAGCTGCATACACAAGCAAGTACTAGTATGCACAACTGCCGTTTCTGCTTTCTTACGCCGAAAATCCGGTCTAAGCAATGGCTAGGTGGTCAGCAGGTGAAGGAGGCGTTGCCCTCATGCAGTAGGACGTGCGTGGAGGCGTCGAGGCTGTAAAAAGGTGGTGCAATCTGCCGTAACAGCTGGCAAAAGTTGCGCCGTCGGGGAATCGAACCCCGACCTCATCCTTGGAAGGGATGAATCCTAACCATTAGACCAACGGTGCACGTAACGTCTCGCTAAACAGCCCCAAACACTCACAACCAAACCCACATAAAAACAACAAGCTCACACATGCCTTTCACACCTTCAAACACTACACCACCGCCGTGCTCTACTACCGCATACCCAGGCACGCAGCACAACAGCGCCAAACAAACACAGTTGTAGCTATATTTTTATATCGGTCGATGGGCAGACGACAACTCGCAACCTATCAACGCTCGGACGAATCGATCACCATTGGGCGCTAAAGCGCGAGAAGTCCCTCTACTCACTCGGACCCGGCTCGTATATTGGGTCTGCAACTTCGGCAAGAGATTGTTCGAGCAGCGGGACCGATGAGTGACATTCTTTTATTAAATGCGGCGCTCACAGAACCACCACTAGACCATCGAATGCAGCTATCAATTCACACAGTTCGGCAAAGGAGTGCAATGGATATCAACAAAACGTGACAAAAGGTGCTCCGAGCAACAGGCCACCAGGTGACTGAACGAGCAACCGGAGGTGGAGACTACCTTGAACAGGTTGCGCAACACAGAAAGAAGCAAGGTGTGCACCGCCGGGGAATCGAACCCCGACCTCATCCGTGGGAGGGATGAATCCTAACCATTAGACCAACGGCGCAGCAGACAAACTAGATGTTACCTCAATACAAACACCAGCTAAACCACAACCCTAGCCATACAGCAAACGCCACAAACGCCAACAACAATATGCCAGCTGCAACGACCCACATCCCACACACCCGTCGCCACCCTCACGCTGCCTCCGACACACGAGCTGCATACACAAGCAAGTACTAGTATGCACAACTGCCGTTTCTGCTTTCTTACGCCGAAAATCCGGTCTAAGCAATGGCTAGGTGGTCAGCAGGTCAAGGAGGCGTTGTTCTCATGCAGTAGGACGTGCGTGGAGGCGTCGAGGCTGTAAAAGGTGGTGCAATCTGCCGTAACAGCTGGCAAAAGTTGCGCCGTCGGGGAATCGAACCCCGACCTCATCATGAATCCTAACCATTAGACCAACGGTGCACGTAACGTCTCGCTAAACAGCCCCAAACACTAACAACCAAACCCACATAAAAACAACAAGCTCACACATGCCTTTCACACCTTCAAACACTACACCACCGCCGTGCTCTACTACCGCATACCCAGGCACGTAGCACAACAGCGCCAAACAAACACAGTTGTAGCTATATTTTTATATCGGTCGATGGGCAGCTGGAATCACACGACAACTCGCAACCTATCAACGCTCGGACGAATCGATCACCATTGGGCGCTAAAGCGCGAGAAGTCCCTCTACTCACTCGGACCCGGCTCGTATATTGGGTCTGCAACTTCGGCAAGAGATTGTTCGAGCAGCGGGACCGATGAGCGCCATTCTTTTATCAAATGCGGCGCTCACAGAACCACCACTAGACCATCGAATGCAGCTATCAATTCACACAGTTCGGCAAAGGAGTGCAATAGATATCAGCAAAGAGTGACAAAAGGTGCTCCGAGCAACAGGCCACCAGGTGACTGAACGAGCAACCGGAGGTGGAGACTACCCCAAACAGGTTGCGCAACACAGAAAGAAGCAAGGTGTGCGCCGCCGAAGAATCGAACCCCGACCTCA